CAAGGGCTTCCTCAAGAACTTTTGTCCTGGGTGCATTAAGGGTGACATAATGACCATACTTGAGTGTCCGGATGGAATCCCTCTGAGGAGGACCTCCATTTTTGTCTTTATTGTTGAACGATCGTTTTCCTTCCTTTTTGTTCCCGTTCGCAGAAGCTTCTTGCTATTGCTTTTTTCCTCGGGCATCTTATATCTTCAATACGAATAAACTCAACCACCCTTTCTTGGAGCTCGTCCATAGTTTTAAGTGGTCGTGCATATAAATTTTCAGCAAAGGATCCTAACCTTAGGCAAGAAGGCAAATTGCTGATGATGAAGGTGTGGTTTATATCTTTTATCCGCAATGCAATCTCATTATATCTTTTCATAAAGGCCCTCAAGGTTTCCTCCTTTTCTTGCTTAGTATTTACTAGTTCCGCTGGTGTCAACTCTTGTCTCCGATTTGCAGTGTACTGTCTCCTGAAGAGGGTTTCTACAGTGGCAAAATCCCGTGTGTTGTGTCATTCTAATGCCTCTTCCTTGAGTGATAATGAGAAGACTCTACACATGATCGAGTTGTCGTTTGTATGGAACGCCATTGCATTGACAAATGTCCTACTATGATCATCTGGATCTGTTGAGCCATCATACTTATCCACTGCAGTAGGAGTTCTTTTCGGCATAGGAGCTTGCATTATTGTCGTTGTGAATGGCAATAAACCGATCAGTCTAACGGTTTGGAGAGGTGTAAGTTCTCGGTCGTTTTGATTTCCGTTTGGGTTTTCGTTCGTGTTACCGTTCGGATGTTTGGGTTGGTATGGTGGGATTGCTCTTGGTTGTGGCAAGTTTCATTAATGTTTTCGCCATTATGACCCTGTTGGGCCGACAACATCGAGTGCGGTTCAAACTGTTCTTGACAAGTCCGTTCGGCTCTCAGTATCGCAATCTCCTCTTCGTGTTTCCACTGCATCTCCTACTGAGCTCGGGTCTATGCTTGCATTTGTGCTTGCAAGGCTCATGTCTGTGTTTGCATTTGTGCCTACAATTGTGCAATCAAATCTCTGGTGGTCTGCTGCTCCTCCATGCTTCTTGTGGTCACCATTGGGTTTCTTCAGCTTCTCTCGGTCCCACGGTGGGCGCCAAAATGTTTCGGTAGGGATTAGTTTAGGACCGCGAGACTAACCTTTCTTGACGTGTCCTCCTTGCTTCTGAACGCTTGGATCGTCTGAACCCTCGCTTTCGGTTTGGATCGCTCGGTTGTCACCTGCTCCGCTCGGTTGTATTCTTGAGCAATGGGGGGAGGTACCTGCAAAAGACACTTTGACGCTCAAGTTAGGAGCGATTTAATGAAATGTTTATCAAGTTGAATATTTGAGTCTTGTAGAGTTTGTATTGAACGTACATGGCTTTTGGCCCTGTCATTGTATTTATAAGTGTTTCATAGACCAAATAAAAACAAACTTACTTGGAGATTCGGTTAGTTACTCATAAACGCCTTTATATCAATATCTCTAATCAGATATCTTTGGCCCAATAGTGATTTAAGTAGTAATAACTTAAACGCCGTCCTAATTATAGCCCAACATTGATATGCGGATGGACAGAACGGTACTTAGTGTTAACCATTTGGTCTTGAGTGTATACCATACAATATGTATATGCTAAAAACAAAATAATCAAATAAAAGGTACTAAATCACAATTCTCAGCAACAAATATTTTAGAATAATGCACCAATTTTCAAACAACTTCGAGTGACCAACCAATAATAAATAAAATGCTTCTCATGGATCAAGGATAAGAACGACAACAACACAAGAATATTTGGATAACACTAAATCAGAGATTTTTCAGCGTCATTTATTTTAGAAGCATTCCCAGTAGTTTTCTTTTTTTTAACAGAATCCAATGTCACCCCTTTTTGTTTTCCAGCACACATGCATCAATTTCCAATCAAATGAGCCACACCATAAAATTGCACCGCATAATAGACCATATTAGCATCATACAAACTTCTACAACAGTTCTACATATAACTAGACCACTAGGATTCACAGTTCAATCATTGTGTTATCTTAGTTTAATCATCTGAACAGATAGGAAAATTCCTAGGCTTTATCAACATAGCAACAACACCTAGGATTACAGTAATAGAATTTATGTTTTGGTTTTTATTCTAGCTTGAAACACAACAGACTAATGAACTGAATTAATGAACATTTGCACGTATAACAACAGTAGGAAATTAAGGTAGCAGTTACACGTTTGTAGGGTTTCTGATGCTTACGCCTGTGTCGTGACGAAGAAAGAAGGTTGGGCGAGACTCGGCCATGGGTGAAAGGATGTGCGATTTAGGGTTATGGCGCTGATGATGTTTCTAGATCTTTAGTTTCCTTGCAGGTCTCTAACGATGAAGATGGAATCGTGATTAATGGTAGAAAAAGCTCTTCGCAGAACTTGTGTTCTCCACGGCTGTTTCGCGCTAGGGTTGGTTCTTTGTTGTGTGCTTGAATGAGGACATTAATGGAGGAAGGAGATATCACGATTGGAGTTTGGGTGTCGCAATTCCGATTTTCTTGTTCATGTTTGGGCTGAAATTTCTAGTTTGCAGGTTATGTATTTCGATTTGGTTCTTTCATGATGATGGTGAGGTGCGTTGTGATGAAGATGATGAAGTTGATGTCGTGATCTGATGATGGAGCTCACATATCTGATGATGGTTAGGGTTTGGTTGCGTAGTTTCCAGCACGATGGTGATGGCCGTGGAGGTATTTGTGCGAGGTATGAACATTTGTCATGGTGGATGGCCGGCCTGATGAGGAAGATGAGGAAGATGAATGCCCATGGTTCATGAACTAATAGCATGGTGGCTGGCGGTTCGTAGTGGTTGGTAGCGACATAATGGCTTCTGTCTTGAGGGAAATTAGTGTTTTTAGAGGTAGAAGATGATGATGACATGACAGGTGATGTAGCAGAACTAATGAGGTGGCAGCATGTGGTTGGATAACTAAGGTGTGCAAAGATCAATGACGTGGCAACATCAATTGGATTGATTTGTTAGTTGAGGACTACTACGTGTCATACTCTGAGAGCACCTAACTAGTTAGTTGTATGAGGGGTAGGAATAGGAAATTTAGGGGGTGTAGTAGAAAATAACATTTTGTTGGGCTTACTATTGGACCTGTTTCAAAATCAGAAGTGTATTAATTAAACATCAGGGGTGTTTTCAGCTGTTTGAAACTCTCTCTTTAGAATTCTGATTTTTGGCCTTATTTTTGCAACTTTGGACCAATAAAACTTTAATTCAGCTACACAAATAAACATAAGAATATCCAAGAATAATATATGCAACTAAAATTCACTTTTTAAGCCTCTTTAATTCCCACACCTGATAAATCCAATCTTCAGAAATTCCTTTAAATCAACAATTTAAGCACAATAATCTCACTAAAATTTTGAAATTAAATCTAAAATGTGGGCATAAATATGCACTCATCAAGCGCTCCATAAATATGAACATATCCCTTTATTATCTTCATGGATCTTTCAATTGGGTACATCCACATCAAGAAAATCAGCCCACATATTCGAATTTACTATATGAACAATCAAATGAACCATGATATCAAAAAATGAATGTAGAAAATAAATTTCCAATTGGCATAATAGTCTGATGGTCTCATTTTGCAAATCATCTATATGTCGAGGATCAACAACTTTCTTGTAAATGACATTAAAAAACAAACTCAAACATGTGATAATACCTCTAACATAAGCAGATAATATGGTTCGAATAACTATTGGTAAAAGTTGTTGCATTACGACATGAGAATCATGAGACTTTAAACCAACTAACTTTAAATCTTGCATAGAAACAAAGCTACTAATATTTGATGAATAACCTTGTGGAACCTTCACACTATGTAAACACTGACAATTTGTTTTTTGGAAAAAGTGTGACAAGTTGGAGGAAGATAGGTACGTCTTCCAATGGATTGCGCATGTAACTCAGAACGAATTCCCATGTCAGCCAAGTCTTGTCGTGTTTTCACTCCATCTTTTGCCTTTCCTTTTACGTTTAGTAAAGTCCCCACAACATTATCACATACATGTTTTTTCAAAGTGCATCACGTCTATGCAATCTCGCACATCAAGTTTACACCAATATGAAAGATTAAAGAATATTGATCATTTCTTCTAAATATTTTTCTCAATGATCTTATTTTTATGTTTTCCGAACACAACATCAATGTTTTTCACCTGCTTGTATACTTCTTCCCCATTGCGAGGTCTAGACACAACATCATCTTTAGGATTTTCATGAAAACACTTTTTTGAATCTATGATAAGAGTGATTTCGAGAAAGGAATCTTTGGTGTCATGTATACACAATTTTCTGTTCATGCTTCAATTGAAAATAATTAATATTTTCTTCACAAATCAGACATGCAAAATGACCTTTAATATTGTAACCGCTCAAGTTTCCATATGTTAAGAAATCATTTATGGTGCAAAACAACATTGTACCCAAACCATACAAAAGACAACATTTCTTCAACGAAATCCCAACAAAAGAAGAAAAACACTTCCTCAACCTACTCCCAAAGAGAGAAGAACACTTTGTAAACTAAGACCCACCATGCTAATGCCAACATACAAGAGTAAATTCCAAACCCTAAAGAAAAAGAAGACCCACCACGCTACTGCCACCTATAAACTCATTGGGATACATGCTTGACTTAGGAAATCCACATATACTTCTAACATTTAAACATCTATAAAACATCTATAAACCGTAAAAAATTAGTTTTACCATATTAACATACTTTTTTTCACATCACAGAACAATTAACTTTAACTTTGTTTCTGCGAGCGCATATATATATATATATAACAAATGCAACTTATAGGTATATATTTTATCATGTAAAATTCAATTTTAATTAAGGCCTATTTTAATAATATGAAAAAATAAATGACTTTTCAAGTTATTTGTTAGACATTCCCCTGCGAAAATATAATGAAGCCTTTTGAGAAATTAAATTTTCTCACCACCTTCTTCTTCACTCTCACGCGCTCCCTTTCTCTCACTTTAAACCAAACCCTCTGATTCTCCCCAATTCTGATTCCAATTCCCCGGTGATGTCAAGCGCGGCGGCAGGCGGCGACGTGGAGGCGGGGTTCGCGAAGCTCCAGGGCGAGGACTTCGAGTACTACATGCAGACCTACTCCATCGTCCTCGGCCGCAACTCCAAGAAATCCACCGTCGACGTCGACCTGTCCAGCCTCGGCGGCGGCATGAACATCTCTCGCCACCACGCCCGCATCTTCTACGACTTCGCTCGTCGCCGCTTCGCCCTCGAGGTCCTCGGCAAGAACGGCTGCCTCGTCGAGGGCGTCCTCCACCTCCCGGGCAACCCCCCGGTCAAGCTCGATTCCCAAGATCTGCTCCAAATCGGTGATAAGGAGTTTTACTTTCTCTTGCCTGTTCGTAGCATTTTGGGGGGCCCCGTGGGTCCGCGCCATTACCCTAACCACACTGCCCCTCCAGGGCCCGTCGTGCCGCACTATAACTACCATTTGAGCTCGGGCCCGGGCCCGGGCCCGGTGAAGAAAGCGCCTAGGAGGGAGTATTACGAGGAGGAGTTCGACGACGAGGATGATGTGGGTGCGAGGAAGATGCGGAGAGAGGGGTATGATGGATATGGCTACTCTGGCGGCAAGTCTTCTCTTTCGGCACCAATGGGTTAGTGCTTCTTGAATTATGATTGCGATTATTGATTATGGAGTTGTTTCATGTAGGGCTAATTGGAATTCCAATTGCTCACCTAGTTTTTTTTTTCTTGTTCACGGGGATTTATTGTTTTTATCTTCGGGGAAGGGCATCATGTCTGCTTTTGAGCTAATTCTTCGGCTTCAGTCCATGAAATTTAGTTAGGGGTGAAGTTGTAGTCTTACATTTTCAACTTGCAGTTATAAGGTGGAGTCTGTTAAATTCTTAATATTTAGAATTTTGGTTGATATGCTGGAGGGGCGATAGTGTGAGATGTATCGTTGTTATGGTGTTTGAAATTGTGTTTCATTAGGATCGTTGATTTTTTCAAGGTTAGATTGTTGTTATCTCTTGTAGTGGTCACTTGCCATTATATTTGGTTGTTCCTGTGGTTGGTGTTATTTGCAGTGACTAAAAAGAATGTGGCCTAGATTTATTTAGATAATTTGCTATTTTCCAGAACATCAATCCCCCAGGGAGATGAGTGGCAATGAGGAATAACTGTGGTCTTACAATTAAGTTGGTGGGTGCTAAAGAGAGCATGCTGGTCATGGGAGTCTTCAGAACTTCAATATCTAGGAAATTCTTCTTCATGCTCTCTAATGATATTGCAAACTGTAATCATTATCCTTTCTAACATTTAAGTCTGCAAGGATTTGTCTGGAAGGAACATTTTAGTTTCCATGTTTGTATTGTAATAGGACCTCGGTCTTCACATTTTATAAATTAATACCAATCCCAATTCCTGAATTTCTTGCAATGTTCACTGATCAAACATTTTTTGGTTTTGTTTATTGTATCACCAACTGGATTAATAAAGGTAATATGTAATTGGTTCAAATCATGAATGACACTGCTAAAAGATTATTCCTGAACAACGTTAAAACCACACAATCTTTCACTTGACAGTAATTCTTGTAAGATGCTTGGACTACCCACCAATTCATATAGTCTCAAATATAAAGTTTAGCACATACCTATGGTGTAGACTCAGAATTTTACCTCATATTCAGTGTTTCTAGCTTTGTGTTATGATGATAACATATCTTCACCCTTTCTATTTGAAGCCATGATTGAGCTTCACTGTTATGATGATTTTTAAATTGGGTTGATGCCTAGGGTTTTTCAATATTCTATGCTCTACATTGTGGATGCTAGGAATTAGACAATAATGCAATAATATAACTTTTGATAGCCTAATTGCTGGAAGAGTCTTAAATAGAGCCATAGAAGAGAAGTTTAGGGTAGCGACCATAGTAGACCAAATAGAAGGCGGAATGGTAACTAAGTTTTCTTTGATAGTGGTAGCACATGTTGATTCCAAAAAAGTTCAGTAAACCTAGAGGTTAGGTTTTTCATGTTCTGAAAGTGAAATCTGCAGCTGTAATAGTAGTGAAAATAGTAAAGATTACTTTGACTCAGAAGATAATGATTTCTATCTAGAAAATCTGTTTATGACTTTTGTTTGTTTTTCACTTGTGTATCTCTTGTTTAAGACACCTATGAATTTTTATTGTTGGATACAAATGTAACAAATTTTGAGTAATTTTTGTCTTTTTTGAGAATCTATATGTAAGTAGTACATATTATATGAAATACGTAGATAATTCATGATAGAGGCCATTCCTCTATCTGTTATTCTGCTATAGTGGTTTTGGGCTGCCTGCCTTCTGCAGCTATCCCAGTTTTAAAACATTATTGCAAGAGGACTTGAGTTAGCCATTTTAAGGGATTGAGGATATGTTAAGCCTTGAGATATTATTAATTGAGGGATATGATGTACCCAACCACTGCTTAAACTGTCTAATTCTAAGCTGTCTTTTGTGCTTGGATATTTGACATTTAAGCATGATATATTATAATTTTGCATTTGTTTTTCCTTCTCGCATGTTCATTCTAGTGGAAGCATTGAAGACCAGAAAAGAGAATATATTTATATATGAATAAGCAAAATTCATAAATATAATTAAAATGCAAAAGATAATGAAAGACATCCGTATAATTAATGATAATAACAAGTCTAGATTTTGGAATTTCATGTTCCAAGAATTAAAATAAGAACAAAACATATGATTAATATCTTAAATTTCTAATCATCTCGCACCTCCTCAATCCCAACATCATCTTCAATGTTATCCAATGGGGCATATCCCTCCTTTTCCCCTTCAAAGAAAGCTTGGTTAAAGTATAATAATTCTTCTGTATTTTCTGAGTTAGAGTTGGAATTATGAAGTTCCAATTCATTATCAACCCCAACTTGAATCGTCTCTTTGCACTTCCTTTGTGTTGAGGCCAAAGTTGCACTTCCTCCATTTTTGGAAGCTTGGGAAGATCCAATAATAATACCGCCACTTGATGTTTGCTTTCTTTTATTGCTTGCTTTTTTCCTTGTATAAATTGTTGGCTCACCTACACTTGAAGCTTCATAGACAGTTGTCTAACTAAGATTTGAAAATCATCATAAAATACTGTTAGAATTATTGGTTAGTGTGTGTGAGTTGTGTGTGAGGTGTGTATGTGCTGTATGTGAGGTGTGTTACACTCACTTAATCCTATAAGTATAGGATTAAGGAGAAGGGTGTGAGAGAATCAAGTCATCCAATATACTTTCATTTTAATATGGTATCAGAGTCATGGTTAAAGCCTATCCTAGCGAGTTCTAAGTGGGCATTTCTGTTCTTCTATTCCACCCGCTATCGGGCCGTTATCGGACCACCCAATTTCTACTATCACGCACGAGATGTCTATACCTCGGCGTGAAGGGGGTGTGTTGGAAGTCCCACATCGACTAGAGATAAGGCCAAATTAAAGTATATAAGTGGGTGCAAACCTCACTCTACAAGCCGGTTTTGTGGGGTTGAGTTAGGCTTAAACCCACCTTCTAACAAATACCAACTCACTACTCCCCTACTTTTTATCGTTATTATCCACTTGCCCCACCAACCACTCACTGCACTCATCAATGTCATTAAGTACAATAGGATCAATTTCATCTCTAATATTGTATCTTTGAGCAAGTTGTTGGTTATACATGATGCAAACCTAATCATGCAGTTTTTTGTGGTCAAGCCTATTTCTCTTTCTTGAATGAATATGCATGATATATAAATAAAAAACAATTATTACTTGTTCAAATATACTTCAATTGCATTCACATCTTGATGAGCTACATGTCAAGTGTAAAATTTTGATTGCTAGTCTTTGTAGATTTGGAGCTGGGTGACCATAATTCTTCCACCATTGAGCTATAAAAGCAAATAAAGTAACTTCAAATTTATGAATTATAACTTGAAGTAATTTAAAACACTGGGAATTGTTTAAGTATCTCACTAGGAGTTGTAGTCTTCCTTGATTCTTTGGAGAAGTCATCACCGAATACTACAATTTCAATTTTATAAAGAGGCAACTGAATTTAATTTTTGTTGTATATCTTTACTTGGCACCAACCTCTTGATGCAAGCATACGAACCATTTGTTACTCCAAATCATATTCCATTTCAGGGTTACAATAAAAAAATTCTGGATTTAAAAAGTGTTAGAATAATTATTAAGTCTACCTATGATTAGTATAGCAGGGCCTAAAGTAGGTAGTTGTGTGTTGGGTTATCTATAATGATTGTTCCTAGCAGTCTAGGACAATCTCTTCATCTTCCATCCATCTATTGTATCAGTTTTATCTATATAAATAAGAGAATTGAGAAGGGTCTAACAAGCCCTTCAGAACTATTTTTCTCAGTTTTAGATCTCAAGTTGGTATCAGAGCAGGTTCATCCTGCTCTGGTTTCTGTCCTGGGTTGTCCACCAGCACTGTCACTGCTGTTTGCATCTGTCCGGTGCCGTTCGCCGTTGT